TATTATGTTTTATTGGGTTTTGAGCAGCACTGCTAAATTTTGTCCTTTTCACATAATAGTGCCTGTTTATAGTTTAAATTCATTATTAGATACTTGCATCACTATTGAGTTACAACAGCATTCAATAGAAGGAGGACTTGAATCCACAATTGAAATTGCTGACTTAGGATATGAGTTGATTATACCAGCTCTCACTGAAGAGCAGTTGACCATTAACCTTTGCACTATATTCTGTGGTCCTTTTACTCTACCTGATGGCTGTACTATTGTTAGTGCTATATATGATATTGCACTACCAGAGGAGCTACCTCCAGATTTTAATGCCACCATCAAGCTAGAGCATTGTGTTGATCTTAAAGATGACATCACTGCCAGCAAAATGTGCTTTGCAACTGCTGCTGTTGATTTAGAAAAGAAAGTCTTTGCATTCAATTGCATTGATGGAGGGACTTTTTCTATAGGAGAGACGTATGCTTCATTAAAGATCAGTAAAAGCTGTCTTATTTGTGTCTTGTACAAAGGATCTATGTTAGTTATAATTAATTTTATAAAATTATGGTTAGTATTATTATTATCAATATAGGAGGGATACATCAGTGAAGTATGCTGGTCAATGTTCTTATGTCAAAGAATATAAGAACTGCTGGACTATGAGTATACTATTCACTAAGTGCCTAAAGGCACATTTGAAGGTGCATATTGTTTAAGATGTACATGTTATTATTATATTTTATAGTATGCACAATCTGAGTCAATTGGCACCATTGAGTCTCACTCGTTTTTGTTTACAGACAGGAATGATGACCAAGAGTTATCAATGGGACTTCATAAGTTTAAAAATCCAATGGAAAGCAATGGATGGAAGATATCGCCCCTCTCTCTCATACCTGATAAAGTATAGTAGTGTTCACATAAGAGCATATAGTAGTTATAGTCTCTAGGTACATTATGCTATGAGGTAGACCTAAGGTCAATTACAATTATAGTTAAAGGCTCAATTACAATTACCAATTACATAATTGTAATTGAGGCTAAAATTTAAATTGGAATTTTCATTGAAAAACAAGCGTAACAGTGTAAAAATATTCCTATAATTGTTTTCACCACCTTGCAAGTACAGCTGGGTTCTTATTAAGATTTATGAAGGTTCTCTCTACCTTCTAATGCTTCTAGAAAAGACTTTAGACAGTACCTCTATGTTCTTTCGCTGTTAGAATGCTCATAACTTTGTCCCATGTGCAAACCGCCATTTTGTTTGTCGTGACCACACCCACTTACGTAACGTGGGCGGGTGGTTGCGCATTGCTAAGGCTTGTTATTTCTCGAATACAACGTGTATAGAAGAAATGTGAGTGTTGACATACAATCAAATATATATATATTTAT